GCGTGAGCATCGAAGCGCGTATCCGCAACGATATCGAGACTCGCATCCGCTCGGGCGAATGGGCACCGGGTATGCGCGTGCCGACCGAGCATGAGCTGGTCTCGACCTATCGCTGCGCCCGCGCGACCGCGAACAAGGCGCTGAGCCGGTTGGCGCGCGAGGGGCTGATCGAGCGCCGCCGGCGCGCGGGCAGCTTTTGTCGCGCGGCCGCAGATCCGCACGGCGGTGGTCGGCGTACCCGATATCGGCGCGCTGATCGAAGCGCGGGGTGAGCCCTATCGTTGGGAGTTGCTGTCGGTCGAACTGCAACGCCGCGCCCCCGAGGGGTTTTCCGGCACGCGCCGGCGGATGCTGGCTGGCGCTGAGCGGCGTGCATCATGCGGGCAAGACCCCATTCGGCTGGGAGGAGCGCTGGCTCGACCTGGCGGTGGCGCCGGGCGCCGAGGATGCGGATTTCGCCGCCAATGCGCCGGGCGCGTGGCTGCTCGCCAATGTGCCCTGGACCGAGGCGCGGCACCGGATCGGCGCGGTCGGCGGGGAAACCCGGTCGCGGCGAAGGAGCTGGGCATCGCCGCGGGCGCGCCGTGCCTGCAGATCGAACGCTGGACGTGGCGGGGCAAGGAGCCCGTCACCTCTGCGCGGCAGGTGTTCCCGGCGGATCATTATCAACTGGTCGAAGATTTCACCCAAGGGCTAGCGAACCCGGCTATAGTTTCTGCCGAAACCAAGGAGCGTACATGTTCGACAAACTCTTTCTGAAGCACCCGCGCGATGTGGGCGAGAGCTATGGCGAGCATTTCGCGACCGCGACCGGGTTTGGCGCGCGCATGGTGGTGGGCGGGCTTGCCTGCATCGTCCATGGAGTGATTCCGGCGCTGTTCGTGCGCACGGCGAGCGATACGGTGAAGGGCCTCTATGGCCGGATGAAGGCCCGCCAGCCCGCCTTTGCCGAGAAGCCGCCGGCCTTCACCGAGCCGTCCTGGCAGATGGAATACGAGATCTAGGTCAGGGCGGGGGCATCAATGCCGGTCGAACATGTCGCGATTGTCGGCGCGGGCTTTTCGGGCACGCTCCAGGCGATCAACCTGCTCCGCCATGAAGGTCCGCGCGCGACGCTGATCGAACGCGGAAGCCGCGCGGGCGAGGGACTCGCCTATGGCGCCGCGCATCCGAGCCATGTGCTCAACGTGCGCGCCGGGAACATGAGCGCGCTCCCCGACGATCCGGGGCATTTCGCGCGCTGGCTGGAGGCCCGCGGTGTTGCGGATGCGGCGAATTCGTTCGCGTCGCGAGTCACCTACGGCATCTATCTGCGCGAGATGCTCGACGCGGCGCTGGCGACCAGCGCCGGCCGGTTGACGGTGCGCTATGGCGAGGTCGTGGACGCGGTGGAGAGCGGGCGGGGAGTCGCGCTCAAGCTGGCCGATGGTGAGGCGCTCGATGCCGATGCGGCGGTGCTGGCGGTGGGCAATCTGCCGCCGCACGATCCGCCTGGACTGAACGACGGCGCGCTGCCCGACGATCTTTACAAGGGCGATCCCTGGGCCGGCAGCGTCGCCGATGGACTGACCGCCGACGATACGGTGCTGGTGATCGGCACCGGGCTCACCATGATCGACGTCGCATTGATGCTGGAAGCGCGCGGGTTTCAAGGCAGGATCGTCGCGCTGTCCCGACGCGGGCTGCTGCCGAGGCGGCACGAGGCCGCGAACGACTGGGCGAAGATCGGTGACAGGCCCGCGACGGTGGCGTCGGGGCTTGTGCGGCAGGTTCGCGAGCGTGCAGACGCGGTGGGCTGGCGCAATGCAGTCGACGAACTGCGCCCCTTTACCCAGCCGATGTGGGCCAACGCCACCGAGGCAGAGCGCGCGCGCTTTTTGCGGCATCTGCGGCCCTGGTGGGACGTGCACCGGCAACCGGCTCGCGCCGGAGGTGGCGGACCGGCTGGCGGCGATGCAGGATCGCGGGCAGCTCCATGTGCTGGCGGGCAAGACGATCGCATTCCTCGCCGAGCGATGGCGGCGTGACGATGACCTGGCGGCCGCGCGGAGGCAATGCGAACGAGGCCATGGCGGTGCGGCGGATCGTCAACTGCACGGGGCCGCTGGGTGATCTCAACCGGACGACGGATCCGTTGCTGGTTTCGTTGCGCGAGCGCGGGGCGATCCGGCCCGACGCGGCGCATCTGGGGATTGACGTCAATGGCGTGGGGCAGGTGATCGGCGCGAACGGACGTGCGAGCGAACGGCTCTATGCGCTGGGGCCGATGACGCGCGGCGCCTTCTGGGAGATCGTCGCGGTGCCGGACATCCGTCGCCAGACCTGGGATGCCGCGCGACGGCTATCCAATGCGCATTGGGTGGGGGGCGAGGGGCTCTAACCCCCAGGGTTCAGCAAAGCTAAACCCGTCCAGCCTAACCCTCGCCGCGCAGCGCCAGACCGCGCTCGATATCGCGGGCGACGACCGACGCCGTGAGCCGTCCGACCAGCCGCTGCGCGCTGCGCCATGCCGAGGCTTCAGCAGTGCGGTGGCGATTGCCCGCGATCAGGCGGCTGCCCAGCTTTGCGTGAGGGGAGAAAGATCGGCGGGATCGCTGCCCGGAAGCCGGTCTGCGACGACCATCGAGGGGAAGGGGAGCGCGATGCGCGGCGAGGCGAATCGATCGCGGCGCGCGGCGCTTTCCTCGGCGGTTTCGGGATCGAACAGCAGCGCTCCTGCTACGCGCTCGACATAGTGGGAGGGCGAGAGCCGTGCCCACCAGGACGCGGCAAAGCAGCCCAGCCCTTCAGCCACCAGCAGGACCGCGCGGTCGGCCCGCAGCACGGCATCATCGATCTGCGCCGCGAGGATCGATCGGTTTGCGTCCGGTTGATGGCAAGATGGGTGTCGCCGAATGCCGGCAGCCGAAGCGGTGCTCCAGGCGGGCGTCTCGGATTCGCTCAGCGTGATCACCGAGAAGCGATGCGGGGCGGGTGCAAGCGCGAGCGTCATAGCAGTCTCCCTTGTACGCAAAATGCCAAACCGGGGGCAGTCATGCAAGATGCGAACGCGCGATCATCCTTTGGAGTTACGAAAGCAAAGCTTCAGCCGTGTGAAACGCAGGCGGCGGCGCGTTCGAGCAGAAAGTTCGCGCTCGCGCGCGTTGCGGGTGAGGGCGGCCGCGGTTTCGAACGCGGTCCTTTGCCTCGGCAAGGCGGCCGGCCCGGAACAGGAAGTCCGCGCGCGCGGCCGGAAGGGGGGCGTAGTTGCGCAGCGCCGCGGCCCTCTGCGAGTTCGTCGACCAGGATAAGGCCCGCCTCCGGCCCGAACGCCATGCTGTACGCGACGGCCCGGTTGAGATCGACCACGGGCGAAGGCATCACCATGCGCAATCGGTCGTAGAGCCCGGCGATCCGCGGCCAGTCGGTGTCTTCCGAACTGCGCGTGCGCGCATGGCAGGCGGCGAGCGCAGCCTGAAGCGCATAGGGGCCATCGGCGCCGCCCAGTGCTTCGGCCTGGGCGAGCGCGTTGAGGCCGCGGCGAATCAGCAGTTGATCCCAGGTCGCGCGGTTCTGCTGCGTGATCGGGACAAAGGCGCCGTCGGGGGCAGTGCGGGCGCGCAGGCGGGAGGCTTGGATCTCCATCAACGCGAGCAGGCCGTGGACCTCGGGCTCGCCGGGCATCAGGCCAGCCAGGATACGGCCGAGCCGCTGCGCCTCGGCGCAGGGGGCAGGGCGAATCAGGTCTTCGCCGCGGTTGCGGCATAGCCTTCGTTGAAGATGAGGTAGACGACCTCGAGCACCGAGGCGAGCCGGGCGTCGCGCTCGGCGCCGCGCGGTACCTCGAACGCGAGGGCGGCATTGCCGATGCTCTTCTTGGCGCGGACGATGCGCTGGGCGATCGTCGGTTCGGGCGAGAGGAAGGCGCGGGCGATCTCGTCGGTAGTGAGGCCGCCGATCAGTCGCAGGGTGAGCGCCGCGCGCGCCTCGGCCGAGATGACCGGGTGGCAGGCGGTGAAGATAAGCCCGAGCAGTTCGTCGCCGATATCGTCGTCCATGGCGGCCTCCAGCGCCTCGACCTCGCTGCTGTCCGCTTCGTCGAGGCCGCGGGCGATTTCGGCATGTTTGCGCTCCTGCATCTTCGCGCGGCGCAGGCCATCGATCGCGCGGCGCTTCGCCGCGGCGGTAAGCCATGCGCCGGGGTTCTGAGGCACGCCGGTCTTCGGCCATTCGGCGAGCGCGACGAGCAGCGCGTCCTGCGCGAGCTCCTCCGCCCGATCGACATCATGGGTCATGCGGGCGAGGCTCGCGATGAGCCGCGCCCGCTCGATCCGGAAGACCGCTTCGATCGCCCGCTGGGTTTCCCTGTCCGTCGCCATGCCCAAGGGTTAGGGGAGCATGGCGGGGCAGGGCAAGCGGATCAGCTATTCGCGAGCTTCTCGCCGATGCCGTCGTGGATCGCGGCGGCCTCGTCCGGCATGACGTCGCCGAAATCCGCCATTTCATAGAGCGGACGAATCTCGATCTCGCTCGGGCCGAACATGGGGTTGGGGCAGCGCTTCACCCACTCGACGGCCTCGTCCATGTCCTTGACTTCCCACAGCCAATAGCCGGCGACCAACTCGCGGGTTTCGGCGAACGGGCCGTCGATCACAGTGCGGCTGGGGCCATCGAAGGCGACGCGCTTGCCCTTCGACGAGGGCTTGAGGCCGTCGCCCGCGACCAGCACGCCGGCCTTGACCAGTTCCTCGTTGAACTTGCCCATGTCGATGAACAGCTGGTTGAGCTCGGGCGACGGCTTCATGCCCGCTTCGCTGTCCTCGGTCGCCTTGACGAACACCATCACACGCATCGGAATTCTCCTTCGTTGGCGAAGGCCTGAATCGGCCTTCTATCCTGACGACGAGCGAGCTTGCGGGGAATCGACACGCGCGACGAACTATTTTCGACAAAGCGCGAAAAAATCCGGCGAGACGCGGAAAGTGCCGATGTTCCAGTAGCTTACGCGAAAGAAGATGTGGTCGGTGATAGAGGATTCGAACCTCCGACCCCTTCGTCCCGAACGAAGTGCGCTACCAGGCTGAGCTACTCCCCGACGGAGTGCCGAGTCCTTGAAAATGCCCCGGGTTGGGCGGACCGGCTTTCGCTTGGAGCGGCGCCTATAACCAGCACTTTCGTGCTGCGCAAGCGGGTGTTCGCAAGCTTTTTCAGGTGGTGCGTGCTGCGAGCATCGCCTCGACGCTGGTGAACTTCTCGCGCGGGGCCCCGTCGCGAGCTGCGGCGACCTCGGCAGCCTCGATCTTCTGCCAGTCGCGGAAGGTGACGACATCGACGTTACGCGAGGCGAGCAGTGCGTCGAGACCGGGGCGGCCCGCCTTGCGGCTGCCGGCTTCGGTATCCGCGGCGATCTTTTCGATGATCGCGAACCCGTCAGGCCGGTTGGTTCCGATCGTGCCGGTCGGGCCGCGGCGCGCCCAGCCGACCGCGTAAAGGCCGGGAAGCACGCGCCCTTCGTCATTGGCGAAGCGTCCGGCGCGATCGTCATAGGGGACGCCGTCGATCGGCGGGGTGCGATAGCCGATGCACGAGACGACGAGGCTGGCGGGCACGGCATAGGTTTCGCCGGTGCCAACCGCGGCGCCCCGCGCGTCGAGGGTGGTGCGCTCGACGATCACCCGCTCGACCTTGCCGTCGCCTTCGATCGCCACGGGCTTGGCATAGAAGTCGAAGATGATGTGGACCGGCTTCTCGACATGCGCGGCCGCGAAGTTGCGCAGATGGGTCACCGATTTGCGGTGGCCGGGCTCGAGCATCGCATCGTCGATTTCAGGGGGGAAATCCGCGACGTCGATGACCGGCGCGGCGCGCTCGAGTTCGCCGAGCTCGCCGAGCTCCTTGGGGGTCATGTTGATCTGGTGCGGGCCGCGGCGGCCGAGCAGGGTGATGGTCTCGATCGACGATCCCTCCAGCGCGGCGAGCGCGTGTCCGACGATGTCCGATCCGGCGAACTCGTTCTGCGTCTTGGCGAGGATGCGCGCCACGTCGAGCGCGACATTGCCGTTGCCGATCACCACGGCGCCGGGCCCCGAAAGATCGGGGTTCAGCGCGGCATAATCGGGATGGCCGTTGTACCAGCCGACGAATGCCGCCGAACCGGTGACGCCGGGCAGCTCGGCGCCGGGAATTTCGAGCGGCCGGTCGCGCGGCGCGCCGGTGGCGAGGACGACGGCGTCGTAGAGATCGACCAGCTCGGGGATCGTGACCTGCTCGCCGATTGTGACATTGCCGACGAAGCGGACATTCTCGGTCAGCGCGGTGGCCTCATAGCGCCGGGAAACTCCCTTGATCGACTGGTGATCGGGTGCGACGCCGGTGCGGATCAGGCCGAATGGAACGGGCAGGCGATCGATGATGTCGACGCGGACATCATCCCCGAACTGTTTTTGCGCCGCCTCTGCAGTGTAGTAGCCGCCGGCCCCGAACCGATCACCGCGATATGCCGCATGCCCCGACCCTCGTTTCTTGAGGCGAGCCTTACGGCTCGCGGAGGCGGCGCCGGCCCGCTCCCTCGCCCGGCCACCCATAGGATGCTGGCGCCGGGTTGCCGGGCGGGGGAGCGGGCCGGCGCCACGTGGATACCGAGCCTAGCGGGGATTGCGGCGAGGGCAAGCACTCGACGTGGGCGATTTCCTGCGGCATGCCAAGGGCATGAACCCGTTAGAGGTCGCTGCATCGCTGTTGCTGCTTGCCAATATCGCGCTGGTCGCGCGGCGGAGCATCTGGAACTACCCCTTCGCGATCGCCGCGGTCACGCTCTACGGCGTATTGTTCTTCCAGACGAAGCTGTACAGCGACATGCTGCTGCAGCTCTTCTACGTTGCGCTCAACCTTTACGGCTGGATGAACTGGTCTCGGTCGAAGGCCGATGCCGGCGAGGTTGTCGTGTTGACGCTCGATTGGCCTGCGCGGCTCGCCTGGCTGGCGGGATGTGCCCTGCTGACCGGTGGCTGGGGATGGCTGATGCATCGGATGACCGATGCGGCGATGCCCTGGTGGGACGCGGGCGTGGCGATGACCAGCGTCGCGGCGCAGATTCTGCTCGCGCGCCGTTATCTGGAGAATTGGGTGTTGTGGATCCTGGTCGATATCGTCGCGATCCCGCTGTTCGCGGTGCGCGGGCTGTGGCTGACGTCCGGCGTCTACGTGATCCTGCTTGGCCTCTCGATCTGGGGACTGATCGACTGGTATCGGGCGCATAGCCGGCGTAGGGCGGCCGCATGACGCCACGTACCATCTGCCTCCATGGCCCTGAAAGCACCGGGAAATCGACGCTCGCGCCACGGCTCGCTGCCCATCTCGGCGGTGAGGTCGCCGAGGAATATGGCCGCGAGTATGCCGAGGCGCGCGGCATCGATTTCACGATGCAGGATCTGGTCGAGATCGCGCGGACTCACGACGCGGGCGTGCAGACCATGCTCGCGGCCGGGCTGACGCCGCTGATCCTGGATACCGATCCGCTGATGACCGCAGTGTGGGCCGATATGCTGTTCGGGCGGCGCGATCCGTGGTTCGACGCCTGGAACGATACCGCGGACCTCTATCTGTTGTTCGACATCGACCTGCCGTGGGTCGCGGACGGCACGCGGATGTTTGGCGAACCGGCGCAGCGGCAGCGCTTCTTCGACCTGTCCAAGGCCGAGCTCGAGCGGCGCGGGGTACGCTGGGCGCTGGTCAGCGGCGAGGGCGAAGCAAGGTGGCAGAGCGTGCTGCGCGCGGTCGAGGCGGCTTCCTGAACTAGGGGACTCGCGTCACCGCGAGCCCGTCGCCATTCTTGCCCACATCGATGCGGCGCAGCACCTTGCCGGTATCGGCATCGATCTCGGCGATCTGGTTTCGCATGGTCTCGGCGGCGTAGAGCCGCTTGCCGTCGCTCGACCAGATCAACGTGACCTGAGCCGCGGCCGGGTCGCCCGAGACCGGGAAGCTGCGCAGCACGCTATGGGTCTTGGCGTCGACCAGGGTGACCGTGCCCTTGTTGACGTTGCTGGTGGCGACGGTCTTGCCGTCGGGGCTGGCGATGACGCGGATCGCATTGCCGTCGATCGTCAGCTCGCCGAGCTTCTCGTAGGTCGCTGCGTCAAACACGCTGAGCCGCGGCGCGGTGAGATCGCCGACGAAGACCTTGCCGCTCGCGACTGCGATCCCCTCGGGGTTGCCGCCGATGGTGAGGTCGCGCAGCTTGGTATTGGCCTTGAGATCGAGCACGCTGACCGTGCCGGAGCCGATATTGGCGACAAACGCGCGCTCCTCGCCGAGCAATGCGACCATGTGCGAGCCCTGCTGGCCCGTGGCGATCGAGGTGATCTTGCCGTCGGGTTCGACGATCGCGACCGAGTTGCTGCCCTCGGTCGTCGCGATCAGCCGTTCGCTTTTCGGCATCCAGAGCAGACCATGGGGCCGCTTGTTGGGGGCAAGCTCGATCGTCGCGACCTTGCCCAGGGGGTCGAGGTCGATGATGTCGATGGTGGTGCTGCCATAGTTGACGACCGCGGCCTGGGTGCCGTCGCCCATCACCGCAATCTCGTGCGGCTGGCTGCCAGTGGGGAGCTTGGCGAGCTGCTTGCCATCGGCGAGGTCGTAGATGCCGAAGCTGTCTTCGCCCTTGTTGCCGACCAGCAGCAGGTCACGCGCTGCGGCGGGGACGGCGGCGGTGGCGAGGAGGGCGGCAGCGAGGATCAGGCGGTGCATCGGTCTCTCCGGCTTGAGCGGCGGAAGACTGTGCGTTTCAGTGGGGCCCCGCAAGCGAAAAGGCCCGCCCCACGATCGTGGAGCGGGCCTTTTGCGAAACCTATCCGAAGCAGCTTATTGCGACGGAGCCAGGCCCGTGTTGAGCACCCAGCCGACATTGTCGTTCTCGTCGGCGACTTCCCACCACAGACCGTTCTTGTTGCCGGTCGGATAGACGATCGCGCCCGCCGGAAGGTTGCGGATGATCTTCCCGCCGGCAGCCGCCGTCGCGCGCATCGCCACCGGGCGCTGCGCCGTGAAGGTCTTGGCTGGGGTCGCCTCTGCGGTGCCCGTGTCGCCGGCGCGGACCAGCCCGAGCTCGGTCACCAGCTTGGTATAGGCCTGGATGAACGACAGAGTGACGATGCGGCCGATATCGGTGTTGTCATAGCCGCCGCCGACTGCGCCCACGCCGCCGCCGAGGAAGCCGGCACCGCCGCCGGCGCCAAAGGTCAGGTTGTTCTTGGCGGCATAGCCTTCGGTCGTGGCGATGGTTTCCGTCGTGCGGACGTTGGTGACCGAGAGAACGGTGTTGGCTTCCATCTTCTTGCTGCCGATGCCAGCGGCAAGTCCGCCCAGACGGCCGCCGATGAGGCCGCCGATAAGGCCGCCTGCGCCGCTGCCGCTGACGTTGCTGTTGGCGCCCTGGATTTCGGCGACCATGACGTAATCGGCGGCCTTGATCTGGCCCTGGCCGACATTCGCGCCGCGCTGATGGCCGAGATTGCCGCCGATCGCGCGCTCGCGTTCAGCCGCCTGCAGGCCCGAACCGCGATCCACCAGGTTGAAGCACCCAGAGCGCTGGATCAGCACCTTGAGCAGCTTCTGCGGCGGAGCCAGCGAGTATTGCGTCCAGGGACGGGGATCGTCGCCATCGACGACGGAGATGGTGCCGAGCTTGCGGAAGCAGCGCGGCACATCCTGCATCGTCGCGTCCTGCAGTTTCTGGCCGCCGCTCTTCTTTGCGAGTCGCTGCGCCTCGGCGGGGCGCGGCAAGGCAAAGTGCGAGCGCGGCGGTGGCGACGACACTATGAACGATACGCATCAATAGTCCTCCCTTGCAGGACAAGTAGGTCCCGCAGTCTGCATGCCGCCATTCGGGACTCCCCCGACCGGCCGACGAATACGCTCTGACACTGGAGGCTCGCGCCTCCCCCTGAAGCCGGCCATTACCAAAGGGGCAGGGCGGACGTCATGCGAAAAAACGTACTAGTCCTGCTCGATCCGGAAATGGGACGCGGTGTTTGCGCTAACCCTCCAGAGATCGCCGAAGTTCTCATGCATGAGTTCGGCGGGGCGTTCTGCCCC